CTTTCATTTGCTTGGTGTTGCCTTGATAGTCTAGCATTTGATTGTGCAGTTATTAATGGTCTAGTTCTTGATAGTGTTGCTTTGTATTTTTTATTTCTTGATAATGTTGATTTTAATGGTTTAATTCTTAATGGTGTTGCGTTTGATGATCTAGCTATTGATAGTGTTGCTTAGGATGGTCTAGTTCTTGATGGGGGTTGCTTCTGCTTGTCTAGTTGTTGATGTTGTTACTTTTGATAGTCTAGTTTTTGATGTTGTTGCTATTTATTGTCTAGCTATTGATGATGTGGCTTTTGATGATCTAGTTCTTGATAGTGCTGCTTTTGATAGTCTTATTCTTGTTGTTGTTATTTCTTGACGAGGTAGTTCCTTGATGTATTAATCTCTTAAATAAGTTCGCTGGGTACTGGTAGTGATGGTGCTGAACACAAATCTGCTGTTCGTTATAAAGATTTCACGTGTTGTTTACTCACACCTAAGGTCAGCCAGGTAAGCCCCACGTTGTACTCGGTAAAATGACTTCTCCCCATAGACGCTTATGGGAGGGGGTAGTGTCGAATTCACAAATTATGAATTGATTATAAGCAGAAAATAAAACAACTAGATGGCAGCGTATACTGCGTCGCGGGTCAGCTCGTTTTATTCATTAACCTATAAAAGAATTTTTGTTTTTTTTACCACAATAATCAAAATGTACACAATACATATAGAAGAAAATTTTAAGTAAAAATATAAATGTTAGCAAATACTTTTGAATGTTTATCAGTATATACAAGTTTGCAATTATTAGTTAGTTCAAATATAAATTGGTATAATTTCCATTAACGAGAGTTATGTGAATCAATAGAAAACGATAAATATGTGAAACTTGTTTTTCCTTTTGCCAATAAATGCCCAAAGTATTTTTAAAGACAGTTTATATATAAAAAAATTGTTGTATCCCTTGCTTTGTTATGTTATAGAAATGGGAAGTAATCAATACATACGAGAAGTTATTTTATAGAAAAAACGGCTGAGTTTTGCAATATTGTCTGTGCTTTGGTCTGTCAGTAGCGTAGCGAGGGGGGGGGTGGGGGGGGGGGCAAAATAAATTGAAAGGTTGAGGGGGGTGCAAAATGAAAGTTTGAGGGGGTGGGGTGCAAATCGAAATCTCTAGGGGGGGGGGGGGGGGGGGGGGGGGGTGCAAATCGAAAAGTTTGTACCCGGGCGCCGGGAAGGTCGCTACGCCTCTGGTCTATGTGTATGTGAACACAACAAATTCAGTACTGTTTTTGTTAGGTAAATAAAAAAAACATTTTATATATAGGTAAAGAATCTTTTAATTAGCTTACTTTTAATTTTATAGTGACCTGCGCTAACCAGAAGCGGTACTTAATTGTTGGCTATGAATAACGTTATAGTTAGATGGAATAAGTATTAGCTCCTATGGGTAGATTTCCGGTAAAAGGAAGGGTTACGGCCTACTTCACTCAATTTCTGATTTATTAAAAACATTGAGAATTTGATATATTTACAGCATATTATCTTAAATTACATTCTGGCGGCGGACACTGTTAAAAGTATATATTTTCTATATAAATTATATACATTTCATTTCGTTCGGGTTTCTGGAAGAAACTCTGGTGTTTTCTCGAAAACCGAGCGTTTTGTTTAAAACTTTTAGACTACAGCGTGATAAGTTTACTTTATCCAATGATTATGTTCGTCCTAAAATTCAATTAAGTATACTAAGGGAAACAACCGTAGTAATTCTTACACACTATAGCATTTCTTGATTATTTTCCCTTGATTTGAAAAATTCACTAAAACGAGTATAAATCATTATTGATGAGCTGTGTCTAAATAAAAAAATTTAAGATGTAGAGGATTGTGAAGTAAGTCTAGAGAAAGAGAATACCACTCAGTTAGAGAGAGTAGCTCAGGTTCGTAGTGTCTTGCATCAAAAAGTAATTACGTTGTGATTATGTTGTGATTATGTTAGGTGTTACCGGTACAACGTAAGATTTGTAAGATAATTAAAAATTTGTAAGATAATTAAAAAATTGTAAGATAATTAAAGATTTGTAAGATAATTAAAAATTTGTAAGATAATTAAAAAGGTGTAAGATAATTACAAATTTGTAAGATAATTAAAAAATTGTAAGATCAATAAAAATTTGTAAGATAATTAAAGATTTGTAAAATAATTAATAAACTGAGAAATATATTTTAAATTGCCGTTATTGTATTGTGTGAACAGTTTGTGTGAAAGAGGGCGGTTTGTTGGATGAGTATAAAAAAGTGGACTTCGTAATAGGGCTGGTAAGTCTACGGTCTCGAAATCTACTAGCTGGCAAGTACGAGAACGACAAGTTGTGACCTACTTACAAGCCCTATTACAAAAGCGAACTTTTCACACGTCTTTATAAACTAGCTGGATAAACTGTTAGATAAAGGGTTGGGCACCCCATTCCCCCTCCCCCACCCACCCCCACCTCCCCGCAATTTTTTAAGGGCTTCATGCTTTATCTATTTTGATTAAATACCAAAGCTAATAAACCTCAATTAGCTTTTCACGTTCGTGCCCAAGACACATGGGACGGATGAAGTAGAGATCATCTGTTTCAAGGACCTCATCATAATTTAGGGATAGTGGGGTCAGTACTATGCCCAGCCGCCTAACGTGAGTTAGGTACCCATCAGAGATGAGTGGACTTAAACCCGGATTCGAACTCGAGACTTTCGGGTTAGAAGCCTAAAGCCAGGCAGTGGCGGAACTAGAAAAAAAGGGCCACCCCTTATATATATATAAAGGATACAAACACTGGATAGTCATTTCTGGCCTGATCGGGTTTTGAAAAAAAATGTTTTTTTCAATTTAAACTAATTACAACATGTCATGTGTGAGTGCACTAGTCAGTTTTGAATATTATTTTTTTTTTCAGATTTAGAGCTAGTTTACTCAATATGTTTGCTGTAATGCTAGCTACCCTGTGGTCAAAAGCCCGTCAAAAGAATATAAAGCGTGAAAGCTTTGTATGTGTAATGGTTTCTCGTGTTATGTTTATTTTTATGTTTTTTTTTGTATTTATTTTATTAGTTTTAAACATATTTCCTTTTTATGCTATGTCAATCTTTAGTATGTATTTTAAAAAAATAATTAAATGAAGTAATTTCTTTTTAATTTGTTTAGTACCAATATATTAAAAGGAGCTAATGAGCATCCATATTTAACCATTTAAAAAAAGGGAAATAAGTCATGGAAGTGTTTTGAACGTTTGCCTATCTTTCACACTACAGCTCAGGCATATATATTTTTTTACGCAACAGCATGTGTTAGCTACTGTATAACATCACTACTGTAGCAGATCTGTTTGTTATTTACAAAAGGTTTTACCGTCAGGTCAAAAATGCAAGAAATTTTTTTTTTAACTATAAAAAAATTATTATGGTCGGCTAAGGGCCCCTAAATGGCGTGGCCCCCCCCGCATTGCGGGGTCTGGCGGCACTGTAGTTCCGCCCCTGAAGCCAGGCCATGCCGTCCCCACTAAACTACAATACTTCCAGTACAGTGGCGTAGCGAGGTCGGGTGTCAGAGACGTAGCGACCCTTTCCGGGGACAAACTTTCAAATTTTCGATTTGCGCCCCACGCCCTCAAGTTTATCTCTATATATTTTGCTATTTTTTGCCTTGGTGTCACCCCCCTAAATGGTGTCACCCGGTGCGGTCCACACCCCCCGCCCCCCCCCCCCCCCTCGCTACGCCTCCGTTCCAGTTTATTACATGTCATTCTAATTGGACTTCCACTTAATTACTTCCATTTTATATCATGTCTGTACTGTACAATAATCTCATGTCATTTGTTCCATAGATAAGACTCTTCACCTGAACTCAAAGTACCAGTTAGATAAGAATAGACGATACTTTCTTTTTAAGATAAGAAATTAAGGTAAAACTTTTATGCCAGATTTTTTGACAAATCGTATAAAGCTATAATAGTTGGAGATTATTTTCTTTATATACATGCTGGATGACTGATTCAATTAAAAGTTTTTGGTGGATTTCAAACGAATGGTATCATGATTTCGGTGGATTCGTAATTAATTTTATAAATCATTAAGTGAATCTTTAATTTTACAAAAAACTTACAAACGCGTGCCAACGTTGATTGGCTAGTCCAACGCCCTACTTGCTGGTACCGAAGTCGAAGTATATTACTATTATTACCCCAAATTTATGTAAAGGAGTTGTATTTAGAGTGATTAACAAATTTTCTTCTTTTTTTAAAAAAAATTCCAAGCCTATTTAAAATGACTTTCATTACCTTCTATAGTTTTTGAATTAGACCTCTTAAGATTTCCATACGTTTTACCATCAGACTTCGTATATCTTTCGCAAGAATTCCATAAGATTGTGATTAGATAAAATACTGCAAGCAGCAAGTTTATTAGACAGTACTTCTGTACGATGGTCGAACAAACAGAAACACTCACAATAGATGAAGTATTACAATAGATGAAGTAAATAACTATAGTACTTATCATATGTACCGTTCTGGTTCAGTAATGATTGAACTGTTCGGCTTGTAACTAAAGGAGGGAACCTCAGTAAAAAAAAAATACCATATGATCGAGTATATCTATCAGAGGCGTAGCGACCCTTCCCGGCGCCCGGGGACAAACTTTCGATTCCCCCCCCCCCCCTCGAACTTTTCATTTGCACCCCCCCCCTCAAACTTTCAATTTGGCCTCCCCCCCCCCTAATGTCGGCGCCCGGGGACATATGTCCCCCCACCCCCCCCCCCCCCTCGCTACGCCTCTGATATCTATATACTCAGATATAAAGAGTCGAAGTATAAAAACGAAAGTGGTACTTTCGAACAACAATTATCTTTCGATGTAATAGTTTGAACAAAAAAAACATAAGTTTTACAGTAATAATTTTAAATATTCGATAAAGAAAAAAAAATCATCAGGTTAAAAAAAAACTTGTGTGTTAAAATAGTTCGTAAGTCTCAAAAGTTGAATCAAAAAACAAAATGGCCGCTAGCGTTGTACTGTTGTGTGTTATGGTCAGCTCAGTATGGGCGGCTGACAGCGGCTTCACCCCAGGGTGTAGCTTTGTGGGGGGTCAGTGCATGTACACGGTTCAGCTCGGCCACCAGGGGACAGTGTGACGCCCAGGTAGTAATTAGAAATTAAATTAATTAGTCGTTTCTAAACAATCTGTCAATTGCTAGTTCTAGAATATATTTTAAAATTTAAGTATAGTTGTATAATATTTTTTTTTTTTGGTTGGCGAAAAAGTTAATACGAAATCTGATATTAACACTCAGTTTTTAATATAAGTCCAAATATATGCTATTATAACACAAAATAATCCACATTTTCGTTATATGCATTTTTAATACTGTACTACATTTTTCTGGCCACTCGATGACGTAGCCAACAACGGTTGTGGCAAGTGGTGACACAAAATGCTGTGATGACGTCAAAGGCGACATTGTTTGGTTGAAAGCTGAGTTGGAGTCGATCCAGACACAGGTACGGAGAAAGATTCTGTTTTGTAAAGTAGAATCCAATATTTTTTTTCTATTATGCTCATATAACTAATCATCATCATATTTTCCGGTTCGTGCCCAAGACACATGGGACCGATGAAGTAGAGTTTATCTGTATCAGGTACCTCGGCGTTTGAAGGGATAGTGTGGTCAGCACTATGCCCAGCCGCCTTAGCTTTCCCTAACGTGAGTTAGGTACCCATCAGAGATGGGTGGACTCAGGGATGTCCACTTACTTGAACTCGATACTTTCGGTTTAGCAGCCGTTCTACCGCATAGGCCACGCAGCCCCATATATACTTAATATTACTAATATAACTGTGAAATAAATCGATCACTTATTTCTGTGAAAATATTTCTTTTTTTTTTAAATTTATGTTAACTGTAAAAACGACGTAACAGAGCATGCAATTATTTTTAAGCAAAAGTTAGAAAAAGGAGAAATAAATTATACTTCGTTTTCGGTCGTAAGGGAGGGGGGTAGGTGATGATCCCCTTCGAAGAGATGCCAGAACGAAACACCGAAGGTCACTAATGAGATAGCTATCCCCCCACCCACACCAAATATCTCGGGTTTTAGTACACATTTTGTGTGCATAGCCTCACTGTACTTTTGTACACATATCTGTATACATATTCGTACCGGTTGATGGGGGCTCTGCTCTCCAAAATAAAAAAACAAAGAAAAAAAAAACAATATCAACTCATTACTGTAGTGTGGCTACTTCTCAAATCAAAGATTTTTCGTGTCTCCATTAATGTTCCAAACATTTCATGGTTTAAAAAAATAAAAAAACAAATCATTTTTGCAACGTTCCTAAGGTCGAAACAACTCCCTATTTCCCTTTGTCAGGTACTCACGCTGACAGCAGCCCTGAACGCCACGACCCAAAACCTCCTTGACGGCCAACATCGAGGTGCAGACGGTCAAGGCCGAGAGGGACTCGCTATTGGAGATGCTGCACCGCAAGGAACTCGAGCTGAACCAGACCACAGACGGAGGTCGCGCGCATCCTGGGCGTGGCCAGCAAGGAGATCGAGGCACTGCGCGCTGACGTCACCAACCTGACCAACGCTCTCAGAACGTGCAGGACGGCACTGGGGATTACCTCAACGGAGGACGGGACGCCTGGTTACTGTCTTTGTTCTGGAAATATGTAGGGTTGGGGGGACGCCTGGTACTGTCTTTGTTCTGGAAATATGTAGGGTTGGGGGGGACGCCTGGTACTGTCTTTGTTCTGGAAATATGTAGGGTTGGGGGGGACGCCTGGTACTGTCTTTGTTCTGGAAATATGTAGGGTTGGGGGGGACGCCTGGTACTGTCTTTGTTCTGGAAATATGTAGGGTTGGGGGGACGCCTGGTAACTGTCTTTGTTCTGGAAATATGTAGGGTTGGGGGGGACGCCTGGTACTGTCTTTGTGCTGGAAATATGTAGGGTTGGGGGGACGCCTGGGACTGTCTTTGTTCTGGAAATATGGGAGAGGGGGGGGGTGGGGGGGGGGGGGATGGGGGTACGCCGGGGTACTGTCTTTGTTCTGGAAATATGGGAGAGGGGGAGGGTGGGGGGATGGGGTACGCCGGGTACTGTCTTTGTTCTGGAAATATGGGGGTAGGGGGGAGGGGTGGGGGGGATGCCGGGTACTGTCTTTGTACTGGAAATATGGGGGAGGAGGAGGGTGGGGGGATGCCGGGTACTGTCTTTGTGGCTGGAAATATGAGGGTGGGGGGGGAGGGTGGGGGGGGATGGGGGATACCGGGGTACTGTCTTTGTGCTGGAAATATGGGGGTGGGGGTGGATGGGGGACGCCGGGTACTGTCTTTGTTCCGGTAATATGTGGGGGGGGGTGGCACCTTGCACTGTCCTTGTGCTGGAAAGATGGGGGGGGGGGGGCAGAGGCGTAGCTAGGGGGGGGGCGGGCCGGGGGGGCGGGGCGGCCGCCCCGGGCGCCGACCCTATGGGGGCGCCAAAAGGGGGTGGGAAAAAATTTTTAAAGCTGATTTTATGCTGCAGTTTTGAATTATAAACTGTCTAAGTTAAGAAATGTAATGGCTACACGCCTTTACATACTGATTTAACTGTTTTCTACCTTGATTTCTTAATGTAAAACATATACTCTTAAGAAACAGTGACCGGCAAAACCGCTTTGAAGCTTTTCCTAGATGGGGGGGGGGGGCGCTTTTTTTCGAGACTTAAAAACGGAAGAATTTACACTAGATTGTTTAGTCGATAAACGTTACCACTATTAAAAAGAAAACCAATTGTATTAAAACGTATTGTACGATTGTTGAACTGTAAAATACGTTAGTGACTTTTATCAAGATGGTGCAGGGGGGGCGCCTTTTAGGCTAAATAAAATAGCAAAATTACACAGGATTCTGAGTAAACAACCTTTAGCTCTCAGAAAGAAACGAATTGTACTGTGCATTGTAATAATTGTGTAACATTTTTTTTAAAAAAAAAAAACGTTTTTTTTTTACGTTAAAAACCGCTCTACAAACTTTGTCCAAGATGGTTGTGATGAGTGTGTGTGAGGGTTGGGGGGGGCGCTTTTTTTTTCGCTAACAAAAATCGCAAGTATTTGTACTGGATTGGGTGAGCAGATAGCTCTCTTAACACTTAGTAAAGAAACCAAGTGTATTAACGCGTAATATACAATTCTCAATAGCCAGTTTTGTTAAAAAAAAAAACGCGACTAGTTCTTTGTAAGATTTCTTACGATTTTCTCAACTTCAACGTGAGAGATCAGATACTTTTGATTGATTTGCATTACATCTTACCCTGGATCACTGAACTATATTAAAGAGAACTAAATATCACGGATTCTTGAATCCCCTAAGCCACTAACCACCACTTTTTTTCCATGCTCTTATTTCATTCTCCACTGTCTGTAATCTAGCTCCAAGCCATACAGTAAAAGAGACCACATTTAGTTATAGATCCTGATTGAATA